ATTGGGTGAACTCAATATTATATGTTGTAGGTCCATCCATTTTCCTGTGAATTTTGTGATACAACTTTTCTTTGGAACTGAATAATATTTTTCTATATGTACTAGATTTTCATTACTCACTCATATGTTAATGGACAGCTCAGATGGTTCCTTTTCTTGTTGTAGTGAATAGAGCAGCATGTGGGTGCAGGTATCTCTGTGGTAAGAGGTGCAGTTCTCTAGGTATGTGCTAAGGACTGAAATGACTGTGCCATTACCAGCTACACCTCAGACAAGGGGCTAATATCCAGAATTTACAAAGAATTGCAGAAACTAAATATCAAGGAAATAAAACTACCAGTCAACAAACGGGCCAATATATTGCTGGACTGGACCGCCCTCTGTGCCAGACAGATACCATCGTCAGGAATTCAGCTGCACCTACTTGCAAAAGATCATCACAGTTGGTCTTGTTGACTGTTGACTTCCTTCATGGGGCGGGGAGGGTAGGGTGAGTCATGTGACCTTCACCTGTGTATCCAGTCACTCATCCCAACCAGTTGTGTCTAATTCTGTTCTAATTGCCCATGGCTCAGTGTCTCAGGGAAGGGCTAGAGGAGGGGGCTCATCTATGCAGCCACCAGCAGCCATTGTCCATGCTGGGTGCAGACCTTCCAGTGCGGCTGGTTTGTCACCCATGCCCGTAACTCTTCACTCTTGCTCTGTAAATACACCTCATAAACTCGTTTCCCCAGGGTGAACTGTGATGGAATCATACCTTACCTTGTCATTAGGGCCTTAGGAGGAGGGGGTAGACATTGTTAACTCGGTTCTTAGGTATTGATCTCAGGTTGTCAGGCTTGGTGGCAAGTCTTTTTACCCACTGAGCCATCTCATGATCCTCTCAATTTTTGAGAGGGTCGCCCTGTGTAGCTAAAGTTGGACCCTAGAACTATGTAGCCCAAGCTGGCCTCCAACTCATGATCTTCCTCCTGCATGGACCTACCTCAGTACTGGTATTACAAACACGTGCCAGGACTCACAGCTTGTACCTCGTTTTTCCATTGCTAGCTCAAGGCCTGAGCATCGAGCATGCTTAGCAAATACGAGGTGGCTGGTGAAGGCAGACAGTCCTTTCTTCTCTGGGTCTAAACCTCCCACTTTACTGAGGACAGCCTACTGCTTCATAAATAGATGAAAGGATGCCTGTAGCAAGGAATGTTTAACACAGGCTTTTTTTTTTCTTCCCCAAAGACAAAAGCTTTATTCCAACTGGGTCATTTTCAGAAGATCTCGGTCTTGGGTTAGCATCACAGCCTCGTGGATGCTCTGCGTGATGTAGTCTATGTTCCTGGCGTTGATGCAGGTGAAGTTGATCCTACTGTTCTTGGGGATGTAGATATGCTTCTTCTTGATCAGGAACTCCACCTGCTGGTCTGTGAGGAGCACAGGACCTCAGATCTCAGAATTCCTCTCAAACCCAGGCATAATTAGACAGGACAAGACTTGTCAGCATCCCTGGGGTCCTATGAAGGTCTTTAAAGCAGCTCCACTTTCCCAAGGATCTGAAGAAAACCTGGGGCAAGGCTACGGACTGGTCACCTTCTCAGTGCAGTTCAATGTTAAAATACAGGCCTAGAGTCAGGACGTGGAGCACCGCCCCCTGCTGGCACTTACGGTTCAGTTCCAGATAGCCATGAGTCCCACTCTGTTCAGTGATATGATTCCAGGACCCAGGGGTGCCCAGCAGCCGGAGCTTCTCCTTCACCTTTTCCTTAACCAGCATGATGTTCTCCACAACTGCTTTTAGACTCTGCTTCCTGCCAAGGAAAGTTATCAGGGAGAGAGATAGAGAGTATGTGTGTGTGTGTGTGTGTGTG